TGATCACCCAGGCCTGTCTCTGGCAAGAGTTCCGCTCGGTGCATCTAGACAGGAACCCCCCTCGCCTCTAATGTTTCCTCTTAGTAATTTTCCCACTCAGCTCCTTTGCCTATAAATTTCAACTTGCCTGTGCTGTATTTGGAGTTGAGCCCAATCTCTGCCTGGCTGCAAATCCCATGGCAGTGGTCCCTATGCCCGCAGCAATGGTCCTAAAGAGTCTGCCTCACCACGCTGGAACAAGTTCCAAGGGATGATTTTTTTTTCCTCTAACATCTTCACCACCTTCACACAGAAGTATTCTCATTTCAAATGGACTTCCCATAACTTCAGTTACGTGGCTGTCCTGTATTCCAAATTAAGCTAGAAGTATGAAAAACCACACATCAGATTTCCTCTACAGATCACAACTGAGCCATCTCCTCAACCGACCCCCTCCAGGGCTGCTTGGAAAGAGTGGGTAAGGGTGCTGAAGTGGGCTGGGGGTGTTCTTTCTTAAATGTACTTTGGTGGGTACATTTTTCTGCTCTCCATCCCCACTTCCAGTCTGCCCTGAAGGGGGCAAATGATGAATGCTAGTGCCTTGTCAACCATCCATGTAACCTTCTGTGCCTTTGCCAACTCTCTCTCTCTCTCTCTCTCTCTCTCTTCCCCACCCCCACCCCCTTCCCCCCAGCGACAAGCTATCTGCTGTTTTGAGACTGCAGCTGCTTGAATGGTGCCCCACCTGCCCAGGAAAGCTACAAGTTGAAGCAGCTCCAGCCCTGGAATGCCAGGCCTTTGTGTAAGGCATTGCGTTGCTGAGCAGAAGCAATTTAAAACCGGTTCCACCAGAGCAGCAAGGAGCCGGATTCAACTCCTCCTAGGTTTCTCCAAGTGTGACAGACACAAACAGCCAGTGTCCTTTAAGGAGTCACAGGAAAGGTCAGTTTAGACAAGTGGCAGAGGGAAGACACCGATGGGAACCATTGTATGTGTTGACACAGAAGCATAATGTACCGGGGAGAACGCCATGATGTAGGTGGAAAACCCTCTGAGCCCAAAAGACTAGCAAAGAAGGCTTCCCAGGAGGGCTGACATTTAAACAGAGGTGAGAAGGAGAATTTGCCAGAAGGATGGTTTAATAAACTGAACCTTTGAAAAATGTCCTTAAAATCATAAAATTCCATTTAAGGTCCTCTACCAAGCCACGTGTGGTGGCACACACTTGTAGTCCCGGTGACTGAAGAGGCTGAGGCAGGAGGTTCACAAGTTTGAGGCTAGCCTTGGCAACTTGGTGAGACTCTGTTCCAAAACAAGAAAAAGAAAAAAGAAGATGGGGCTGGGGATGCAGCTCAATGATGGAGCATCCCGGAGTTCAATCCCCAGTATTGCAAAAAGGAAAGAAAAAATAAGTTCATGCTAAAACTTAACAGTATGGACTATTGGAATATGTATTAAGACAGGAAAAAAGTCTTAGATATTTAGATGTATTCCATAGAGAGTAAGGAGAAATTTTTTAATTTTTAATTTTTTGGTATCAGGGATTAAACTCAGAGCACTTAACCACAGGGCAACATCCCCCTTTAAAAAAATTTTTTTAATTTTTTACTTGGAGACAGTATCTTTCTAAGTTGCTTAGGGCCTTGCTAAGTTGCTCAAGCTTACTTTGAAGTTGTGGTCCTTCTGCCTGAGCCTCCCAAGTCTCTGAAAGGAGAAACTTTTAAAGAAAATTCTGATGAAACATTTCCTACCAATAGTTGAAATACTATATTAATAAATGTAACAATCTGAATTATAATAAAATTATTTGAAAATCATAAAACAAAATATTTAAAACTAAGGGCTCTCTGACTTAAAAAAAGCATAGTCAAGCTTACATATAAATATTTCAGGCATTCAAATAATGCTTATTTCTTTCATTTATTAATAAGTATATTCACAGGTATGAGAGAAAACAGAGTACGAGAATAAATAGGACTCAAAACAAACTGTTAATATTGCACCTAGTAATTTTACTCCTAGATATATACCTAATAGAAATAACAACATCCATATACAAAAGCTTGGAGATGGATATTCATAAAATCATTACTTACAGCAACCAAAATGAGAAACAGCCCACATGTCTGTCAATTGATAAATGGATAAATAAATATGACACTTTTATACATTGGGATGTTATTGTCAATAAAAGGTAAGTATTGCCAGCAACAGTGGCACACACCTGTAATCCAGGTGTAAGGAGGATTGCAAGTTCGAGGCCAGCCTCAGATATTCAGCAAGACCCTGCCTCAAAATAAAAATTAAAGAGAGGGAGGACACTGGAGGTATACCTCAGTAGTAGAGCACCCCTAAGTTCAATTCCCAGTACCACAAAAAAAAAAAAAAGGAAAGTATCAGAGATATATACTACATACTACAAAATGGATAAACCTTGAAAACATATGAGAGACATCAGTCACAAAGATCACATACTTCATGATTCCATTTATGCAAAAAGTCCACAAGGGGCAAATTTATAGAGACATAAGACCATTAGTATTTGCCTGTATCTGGGCAGGGTGAGGGTGGGGCTCAAGATGGGGAGTGACAGTCAACAGGTAGGGGAATCATTTT